AGAATTCTTGTTTAGATAAGTGAAATGAAAGCTGACAGAAGTAAAAGAAGAGTATATATTATTCAAGATTTGAAATACAACTCAAGTGAAAATCTTGTTTAATTAAATGTAAAAAGCAAATATTCTCATCTATAATACAGCTGAAACTAGAACATGGCTATTTCAAATCTTATATACAAAGATTTGATGATAGATTTGATTCAATAGAATGCTCATTCTGCAGTGCAAAGAAGAATCCTGAGTATATTATAATGCACTGTGTATTATATAATAGTCTCAGAGTCAGATTGAAAGAGAAGTATAATTTAAATCAATTAAATATAAGATTCTTATTCTCAACTGAGATAGGAATTAAATACTTAATAGACTTTCTATCAGAAACTCAAGCAGCTATAAGAAAATGACTAAATTCAGAAATATCTGAATATGAAGAGGAGGAAATCAATCAGATATAGTCTGTTAAAACAGCTATATACTATCTTTTAATAATTTGTTTTATTATAGTCTCATTTTACTTTACTTTTTTCTTTCTATTCTTTCTATCTATCTATTTAATATGTCTATCTTTAAGACTGTGTTCTCTTTTCTTTTGTCATAATATTATCAAATAATTTCAAAGTATCAGAAGATGTTAAAATACTGCAATTTGTAAACAGTTTTTGTATTCTGGCCTGAAATCTTCTGATTTTGTATATCTGAAATTGGTAAATGTATAATAGTTGACTTTAGAGATATAGGAAAAACTCTGAGAACTAAAAGTTCTCAGGTAGATATCATAGTCTCTGACTGCGTACATCTATAATTGAAGAATAATAGTAATAATCATTATATGACTCTGATAATAGCTACTCTTCTTTTAGTCTTCTGAGTAGAGAGCAGTCTTCTTTGAATCTGATTCACTGCTTACATCTTTCTTTCTTATATCTCATCTGTTCACATACATAACATTTACCTGAGTATGAAGTTTTCCTTTAATAAGCAGAGCAGTATCAATCAGATGCTCTTCTACTCATCACTTCTTCATACACTATCTTTTGAGATGTTTTAGAACCACACTGACATGATAACTATGAATCACTTTGTAGATTGAATTATCACACTTTGAAGAAGCCTGTGCTTCTCACTAGTTTTTAAACATACTATCAGATGTGATTCAAAGGTTGCTTGAGTCAGCATATAATTACAGGCATACACCGGCTTCTTATATATGTTATCTATATTAATTAGTGGCCGCTAGGGCCTCTTTACATTCGTAAGCGTGTTTGGAAGCGGCCGCGTTATTATCCGGCGGTCGTACGTTCTTCCGAACCACACAGATTTGAAACATTGTTAATATAATTTGTATCTCTTCTAAACAATAACAATGATTTTATAATATTCAATAAATAAATAAATCAGTCACATCACTGAATATAATATGAAATACTAGAATATAATAAAGTTTAATATATAAGATAACTGTTCAGACTCTTTAATTGTATCAGATAATTAATTATTAAATGTAATACTCTGATCAGAAAAAGATTCAGATATTAAAACTTTCTAATATAAAGTAAACTCAGTTGAAATATATCATTAATTTACTGTTTCAGTTTTATAAGATAATAAAGACAGTCTCAATTACTTATATATTAATACTGCAGTCAGTCTGATAAGTGTATAACACTTTATTTACTCATCTTAAGAAGTAGTTAAATCACTTAAAAAGAAATTCAGTCTGAGATAGTACTATAGTGCAGGCTATTATTACTGTAAGAAATAAACTGATATATTACTACAGTAAAACTGAACAATCTTTTACAGAGTACTATACTATAGCAGCTTTACTAGATCTCTCTCATTGAGTTAATATCTACACTTCTCAAGATTGAACAGAGAAGAAATGAGACTTGTATATTAAATTAATCTAAGACTACTATAATATTAACTATCAGAGATTTAAATAAGTAGATGTTAGAAATGTGAATTATTATTATTATTATTATTATTATTCTTTCATTATACTTATATACAAGCGGAGCTTATAATGAGTTCTTACATGATGTTAAATACAGGTTAAGTGTTAATTATACAGAAGAAAATTGTAAGAATAAGTACTCACAGGCAATTATTCAGGTGTTTGCAGCTTGGCATGATATGTACTGTTAACTACTAGAAGTATTCGCAGTAGAAAGATAAATTGTAGAGATTAAATGTATAATAGTATTCAAGCTGAGTTGTGAATAGTATTCATGAACTTCAGTCTATATAGTTGTATATAGTCAAGAGCTGCTAACTCTATTGATTACATGAGAGATAGAAATAGAGATAAAGAATCTGTGAGAAGTGAGATTTCTTACATATTCTCTTCTCTCTAAGGCTTCATCTGTGAAGCCTTTCACTGAGTGACTTTATAGAATCAGCTCAGTACTGCAGTGATACTCACTAAAAACCCTTCATATCTATAAAAACCTCAGTGAGGAAAAATCTCTTGTTATTATAAAGAGAAAAGAGTCTGTCACTCAGTTTCTTATTCTGTAAGATTCTTTGTGATCTGCAGATTCTTCTCTGACTATCATACAGATTCATTTCACATCTTTCATACAGAAGAGTTCTGATTAACTCTCAACTATTTTCACAAGATTCTTGTGTGATTATTATACAGATTCATCTCACAGATGAATCACTCTCTGTGAGATCATCTCTATCAAAGAGAAGTATTCATAAGTTAATCTTTCACTCATTCTCATAAATCATCATTCTTTGACACTGTAGAATTGTGAGGAATTTTTCATTCTTTCATCAACTCTGTAGAATTATAGAATCAAGATATTTACAGTCTATAATCACTCTTTATAGTCATATAGAAAGATTCAGATCTGTAATTCATAATCACTCTTTATTTACTAGAGTGATCTGACTGTTTTGTAAGATCACTTATAGTGTAAATAAATCTCTTTAAAGTAGTATAAATATCTCAGATCTGTTTATAAAATCTCATCTTCTTTTTTCTTTTTCTGTAACAGCTCTTATTCTCATAAACTGTGAGTATCTTCATTTATTCATAAAGTATTTTCACTCAGATGATAGAGAGAGAGTGTTTCTAACAATATCTATATATGATTCAAGAACTTCTCAAGAATAAAAATTTTTTCAATTTCAATATCTTCATGAATAATATCTAACTACTGCTGAGCTTCTTACAGATATCTCTGTGACTTCTCTGATTACTTTTTACTAGCTGATGAAGCAGAGGCATCACTGCTCATGACAGTGTCTTTATCTCTCTCAGCTCTGCTATTACATCTGATCTTTGAGTCAGCAGCCAACTCTGTGTCTTCTTCAGACCAGTTTCTGACTTCAAGCAGTGCAGTCTTATTCTTTACTGTAAGTCTCTCTATAAGTGATTTCTTACAGATTCTAGCTGACAGTTTCTATAAAGCTTTCAGTGCTGTCAGTGCTCTCTGCAGCTCTGCAGACCTATAATCATCTTCTCTCTGTCTGTACAATCTCTGATCAGGCATATGCAAATATGCCTAGGTTTTCTATCAATGATTCTCGCGTCATGATGTATTTCTGCAATTCCATTGTTAATGAGAGATGAGTTCTCAGATACTCATAAAATTCAGGTAATCAAGATAATGTGAATATCATGAATTTATGATAAGAGTTAATCTGAGCAGATGAGCTCTCTCTTCATATCTCAATTATTTTCAGGCTGAATACTTCAGTATAACTGAGAAAGCAGACATAGCTTTGTAAGAGATATTTAGTTATACATGTAGATGATCAGTTCTCAAGACTCTGCTGCAACTGTACATATTCTGATATTCAGTTTCTCTAAAGTCTGTGCATTTCTGATAATCTTCATATCAAATATAATAATTATCTGTATTACAGACATGATGCTCTCTGCTTCTTTAAAGAAGAAAATTGATAGTTATGAGAAGATTGAGTGTTACAGATATTAAGAATGTGAGTATAAGTTTTCTTTATTTTTTCTTATTAATCTCTAAATTGTGTTTACAGTTCTGTTTTTATTTTCTTATTTTTTAACTTTAATAAGAATATAATTTCTTCTTTTCTTTGTATACACTGCAGACTGTTCATCTCAGTAGAAACTCATCATCTTATAGACTAGAATTCACAAATAACAGTGTTAATATCTTTATCATAATCAGGTTCTTAGTGAAGATTATATCATTCTAACTTATCAGAATTTACAGTATGAAAGTCATGTCTCATCTTCTACAGATATCTTATCTATCTAGATAATTCTCAAGTGAACTTATCTCTCTTATTAAAATACTCTTATCACTGAATCTTGAATCAGAGCTTATAATCTCACTTCTCTGAGTTAATAATTTCTTTAATCTGATATTTTCTTTCACTCTCTAGTACTTCATGAATAGAGTGATGAGTTACAGAATTCTCTTCTAAGAATTTCTTATATTCACAGAGTAAAGAGATATAAAAAATATTATATATCTATAACTCAGATAACAGTTTTAATCTGTAGAATTATAAACTAACTTTCTTCATAATCTTATAAAACTCTGTCTGTAAGAGATTCAGCTTCTTACTAGATCTCTATATAATAATATTTTCTAGACTCAGTCAGACTCTATCATCTTTCTTAAAACTCTTTATAATATACTTGAAGTTATAGTATCTCTTCTGATACTCTTGAGTCTTTCTCAAGAATTTACAGACTTTCTTCTGAATATTCTGAATTCTCTCAGCCTGTTTATAAGCATCACTACACTCTATAGTATACTCTCATGAGTTTATCAAGATTATTCACAGATGAGTCTCAATGAGTATCTCAAAGAGAGTTTTATCTGTACTGATATATTTTAAGTTGTTATATATAAACTCTGTAAGTGATAATCAATACACTCAGTAATTCTGATTATAATTGATAAAGTATTACAGATACTGTTTTAATATACTTATCAGATATTCTATCTGATTATCTATCTGTTGATAAAAAGTCATACTTAGATCTTATGAGATCTTCAGTATAGTTATCAGATCAGATCAGAACTTCTCTGTGAAGATTAATCTTCTATCTGAGATAATGTTTACAGATAACTCATACAACTGAATTACATTACAGACAAAGATATAAGTTAAATTCTTTAACTTTAAGTTCTTGTAAGTGAGTATAAAGTGTATTATCTTGATAAAGTAATCTACTATCATCAGTACACTGTCAAAGCAGACATCATATATCTTCTTACTTTCAGAGAGACTTATAACAATATTTATTTCTAGCTGTTTTCAAGATTTCTACAGAATGAATAGAGAAGTAAGTTCTTTATATAATCTGAACTGCACTATCTACAAACTCTGATAAATAGTATAAGAATTTACTATCTTCTTTACAAGTTCTTATATCTTCAGTCAGAAGTATTTTCTTATAAGCAACTCATAAGTTCTAGTATCTGTAAAATGACCTGCTAGAGAAGAGTTATAATATCTTTTAATAAGTTCTATATATAGAAACTCATTTATAAATATATAAATTCAGCTCTCTCTTCATAAGAGATTATTTAAGTCTCTTTAATTCTTTATTTCTGCAGAATTAATCTCTGCTGTGAGCAGTTTCTGAATATACTGAGTATATTCATTCTTCAGTTATAGTTCAGATAATCTGAACAGAAGATCTTATAAAGACTTATACTTTATTTCTTCTTATATCAGATCTTCTACAGTACTTCTCAAAGCTTACAAACTCTTCAGATTATAGATACTCTCTTCAAGAATTCTTACAGAGATTCTCAGAGTGTTGACTCTTAGTATTATAGAGAGTAGTTATACAGACTTCTTTTCTCTCTCTCTTCTCTTCTCTTATAAGAAGTTAAGAGACTCTTCAGTTAATCACTTCATAACACTCAGTCTGAGTATTGTGTAAAGCTTTTCTGTCTTCTCTAGTCTCTCTATGTCTGTCACTCTGATATTCTTGACATAGTCAGATCTGTGAGAGAGTCTGTTTACTAAGTTCTTAGTTCTCTTAATATACTCTATCTTGAATCAGAACTTACTCAGTCTCTGAGCTCAGTGAATTTACTGCTGTGAGAGTTTCTTGATTAAAGTAAATTATTATAAGCTGTTATAATCAGTTCTAACAGTAATCACTGTTATAAGACTCTCAAAGTAGTGATATCAGTGATAAAAGAATTTCACTATTATAAGAAGCTTCTAATTATAAATATCATAGTTGATCTTCATAGATTACATTTTTTATAAGAAAAAGATCACTGAAACTCAGTTCTTATTTAACTGTAGTTATAAGACTATTTCTGAAATTGTAAAGAAAAAGACATCTGTCTTTAATCTGATTAAGAATAAGAGATTAAAGTGAAACAGTATCACTGTATCTATGAATATCTATTTCAATCTTACAAAGATCTTATAAGCTTCTGAGATAAGAAAGTTCTTACAGCTCTTTCTTCTTAATAATCTTTTCATTCATTATTTATGAAATAACTTCTTCTTATTTTCACTCTTCAGCATATCTGTAAGAGTTAAGAAGATTCTTATAAATACAAAGATAAATTATCTATAGAAATTCACAAAGCTCAGAAAGATCTGAATCTCATGAATACTAGTTAACTTCAACTATAATAGAATAGTCTCAATCTGCAAAGATTTTATCTGAATATCATCTGCAGTGATTATATATTCTAGGAAATTAATTCAACAGATACTGAAGTTATACTTTATAAGCTTAATATACAGTTCTGTCTTATCTAAGATCTTCAACACACTTCACACATACTCAGTGTGTTTTTTCTTCTTTATAAAGTACATTATCACATCATTCAGATATATTATTATAAAGATATTCAGATATACATGAAGTATTTTATTAATAAAAGACTGAAATACTGTAAGAATATTAGTCAAATCAAAAGATATCACTAGATATTTAAATAATCTCAGTGCAGTTCTAAAGACAGTCTTTTATTCATTCTCAGACTGTATTCACAGCTGTGTATATATATTAATTATATTTAGTTATATGAATATAACAGCTTCTGTAAGATAATTGATCATATTCTCAATCAGAGACAGAGAATAACAACTCTTTGTAGTCTTGAAGTTCAGATTATAATAGTTTACACATAATCTGACATCTTTATTCTTCTTCTTTATAAATATCACAGAGACTTCTACAGAGATCTGTGAAGATCAGATAAAGTCATTCTTCAGATTCTTCTTTATATAAGCTTATAAGATCTCTGTCTCATAATGAAAGAGCTTATAAATTGATTCTCAGAAGAGTTTCTACTCTTCTATTAAATCTATTATCAGATTCTTCTTACAGTAAGATGAAAGCTCAGCTGTCTTTACTGAGCTGAATATCTCTGTGAGATCTCAGTATTTCTCTAATATTTAAAGCTCAGTTTTCATAACTGTGAAGTTCTCAGACATTTGTGAAGTTATTATATAGATAAGCTTATCTTCTCTAATTAACTCTACAGTATTAACTGATTCTATCTTTATAAGTAAGTCTATTAACACTGATTGAAAGTATAAACCTGACTTACAGACAGCTATGTGTGAATTATGTCTTTAAAATTATATAAGTTTTAAGTATATATTATCTGTGATATCTGTGATAATTACAGTTTTCACAAATCTTCTTCAGATTCTGAAGAGATTTTATAATTCAAAGATAACTCTTACAAGTCTCTCAGCTCTCAGGTCTGAGTTCTTATATTCTGCTTATTATAAGAGCAGATTCTCAGTTTTCATCACTTAGCTCATTTACTCTGTAAGCTTTAAAGACACTACAGTGATCTGAGATTCTGAGTTCATCAATACTTTTTATACTTATGAGACAGCAGTACTGCAGCACAGTCTCTTCTTATAAGTATATATTTTCATTGAAGAAGTAATAGATTCAGATGTCAGCTTTAAGACTCTTAAAAAGACTATTACTGACTCTGTTCATAACTTCTTAAATTTCTATTTTAATTTGTCTGAACAGTTTGCATGAAGATGTTCTGATTTAAAACAGATAAAGTAGAGACTCTTTTTCTTAATCTCTCTATTATATACTCTGTTCACAGAAGCTTATGAAGCTCTTTCTCTCTACTCAGTAGTCAGACATGAATCTCTCTATATCTTATCATCTTTTCTCAGTAAATCTATTCTCTATTATTCTGATTCTCACAGAGCTGATCAGTTATCTACTCTCTATAAGTCTGTAACTCTCACAGTGATCTGTAAGCAGTGAATAAGAGTTATTAGTTTCTTCAGAGTCAAGAACTTAGAGTCTTACTCAATGAGCTTATTCTACATATCTTTACTCAGTCTCTTTATAAATATCATTTTTCAGGTCTTATTTCAGAGCTCTGTTTTCACAGATCTCAATTCATATTATAATTTCATAAAGTACTGTGAGTAGTCTTTATCAGATTTC